GAGTGCATTCTATGTACATAGGCTCTGGAGGTCATCTCATGCCATCGAACTTTTATGCGGGTGGATCTTTAATAGCATGAGAAGTATATCCATATGCTGCGGGACCTTCTTCAAATTATTTCAGCCCATTCAACGCACATTTGCCAACTCCAGGAGGTCAGCAAGAGACAAGAAGCAGACCCATACACCTCATCTCATATGTATATTTCAAATTGAATGGGTTCATTGGGTTTGCAAAATAGATTTTGGATAATTAAATAGTTGCAATAAAAGATTATCATAGTAGTTTAAATTACCCAGTTACATTTATTTGTAATTTTGTACATTATCCACCCCTTCACACTGACTTTGCCTTCAAGGTCGAGTAGGAAAAAAAGACTGAACTCTCTTAATAAAATGAGATCTTCTATTTCTATATCTTGAGCTTAATGTTTATTTAATAAAAAGAGATCTTCCTTGCATTTCTTATTGCCTTTAATAGGCGAGGGCATAGCATGGGATAGAGGCAAGCGACAGAACAAAAAAAAAAAAAAAATACATTTTTTGTCTTATTTGAAGTGCATGTCGGTTAGTCACTGATAATTTTGTTCTATATTAGGGTCAGATTAAAAGCTTCCTTTTCACACATGTTTATTTAAAAAGGAGCAAAGTTGTCAAAAGTTTTGCTAAAAGAAAACGCCAATTCAGTTGGCGTAGTCCGCATGTCGCGTGAGCCTAGGAGAATTGACCAAGGCTTTTGGCACACTCCTCACAAACTTGGATCGATGATTCGTTTGGCGCACTCAACCCACCTAGGTGAGACGTGATCGACGTGCAATCAAGAGCGTGAGTCTAGGCTCATATGTTAGCTGGATTAAATAGTCAAGGATGACATAGAAATAATAATTCAATTTATTTATTAATAAAAAATTACATTCGTGATCACCCGGGGAAGGATTGGTGGTGCGTTAACTTTCTATAAGTAATGCTTATATTATAAGATTTGTAATTCACACTAATTATAATTTTTGTCTCAGACAAACTACTATGTATCGTAGTCGGGATATCGTCCACCCATTTGCAGGTGGTCACAGGCAGAATGCGACCTCGATGCAATAAAGCAATAGATGATGTTGCCGAGTTAGCAAGCAAGGTTGACAGATCATTGTATATTGATTGTAGTGTATTTGATACACATGAGCATTAGTCCTCCCCTGCTGAGCGGCCATACAGACACCGGACCGATACTAAGGGGTGAAGGAGATCAATTTTAGATTCTCTTAGGAGAATTACTGCCACTGATGTACGCGCTGACAAGTTTCAGGCATCGAGTGCATTCTATGTACATAGGCTCTGGAGGTCATCTCATGCCATCGAACTTTTAGGCGGGTGGATCTTTAATAGCATGAGAAGTATATCCATATGCTGCAGGACCTTCTTCAAATTATTTTAGCCCATTCAATGCATATTTGCCAACTCCATGAGGTCAGCCAGAGACAAGAAGCAGACCCATACACCTCATCTCATATGTATATTCCGGATTGAATGGGTTCATTGGATTTACAAAATAGATTTTGGATAATTAAATAGTTGCAATAAAAGATTATCATAGTATTTTAAATTACCCAGTTACATTTATTTGTAATTTTGTATCATTAATAATATAATACTTGCATTTACATTCTCTTATCCATAGGATTGACGAAGAACAAACACCTGAGGATGCAGAAGATGGCCCACCAGAGTTGCTTTTTATCCATGGCGGACACACTAGCAAGATCTCTGATTTCTCCTGGAACCCTTGTGAGGATTGGGTCATTGCCAGCGTTGCTGAAGATAACATCCTTCAGATATGGCAGATGGCAGAGAATATCTACCATGACGAAGATGATTTGCCCAACGACGAGCCTTCAAAAGCCTCTTAATATAAATTCATGATATTCTTGGGATAATTGAAGGGGCTGCCTTCACAATATTCTAGGAATGCCTGCTATTTATTAAAGCTGAATTATAAAGGGTGGGTGGCTACTGGCTGTTTTGTATTTTAGGTTTTCTTTGAGATTATTTTTTATTACTTCTTAAAGTAATTTTTTAGATGTAAAACTGAATTATATGGAACTTTTGATTACTTGCAGCTGAAGAGTAGGACCGGATTCCCCTCAATATTGGGTTTGAAATGATTTTTGTCATTTTAATGTCGCAAGTTATAGGTCTTTGATTATGAATTTCGAATTTGAGAATTTATTTTAATTATTTGGTTCAATATCACTTTACATTGTCTTAATATTATTTATATAGATTTTTTTAATTTGTAAGAATAAAGAAGTCATTGGATAATGGGGCTGAGTGAAAAAAAGTTTAGTTGAAGTTTAATTGTCAAATTATTATTATATAAATTTAAGGTTATATGAAAATTAAATATATTAAATTTAAGTTAATTTGTTTTGCTTAACATTTATGTTAAATTTATTAATTAAATTTAGTTAATTATATAAATGTGTTAATAATTGTTCATTGCTGATTCAATGGTTTATTGGTCGAACAATCAGAACACTGAGTTTAATACGAAAGGTGTATTGGAATTCCAGTTAATCAATTGGTTTTGCTTGATCGGTTGAACTTACCAGTTTTCAAAACAATGCTTATGAGTTATGACCCTTTACATAGCTCACTTTGGTATGTTGGTTTGATGCTTTAGTTATCAATTAAGATATTTTGGTTTCGAGTCTTATATATGGGATATGTGTATGAGTTTGTCGTAATTGACTAAAATGTATAAAAAGAGTGAATATAGGATATTTATTGTCGGTTACTCATAAAATAATTTTTCATTTATATATTTCATGATTATATTAAGGGAAAAAATAAATTAAAACTTGGCATTTGTTGTGATAGATAAAACAATATCTCTACTTTATAGACAATATTTTTAGAGGCACCATTAAAATGAATATGAAAGCTTGGATCTTAATGATGATGTAATTTATGTTAAAGGATATATACAAATAGAAACTTTGATGTAATGGGTCACCCAAGTAAACATTCATTGGCTATAGCCCAAGATTGAGACATTAGTTATTATTGCTTATGCTCCACGTTATACAAATCATGCCAAGGCGAACACACTAGAATTTAATAGTGCTTTGGTCAAATAATGATATACGTCAACTCCTCGGAGTCCTCCTATCCGAGTATTGCACTAAAACTTTAGTGTCTCACCTTTAACCCCCATAGTTAGGCAGAGAAGTCCTTACAATCCTTTCACCAACCTAGTGCAGCAGAGAACCTTAACCTTTTTTTCATCCTCATGTGGAAGACAGAGAAATTCACACTCCTTTTTCACCCTCCTGGTGAAAGAAGAGAACATCGACGATCTTCGAGCTAAGGATCTTCTTCCCAGAACCACCCAAGAAACCAAGCAAAACAATCGAAGTAAACAAGGCAGAAGCTTGCTCGGAGCAACCGTATGAAAACCCCACACACTCCTCCCTCTCACACAAACTCTCATTTCTCCTTCCCAAAGCTCTCTAAGATCTCTTCTCCAAGATCTTTCTCCAGAAAATACAACAGCGAAAGGCTTGAAACAAGTCTATTAAGAGATATTTGAAAGTTCGTGCAGGTTGTTAGACCTAATAGAAATGTCCAAGGCTAACTAAGAGGAGGATGAATTGGTAATTAAAAAAAAATCTCTTGGATTTTAGTAACCTGTTTTAAGAAATTTTAATCAATGATCCTGAAGTATGCGGTTATTTGTAGAAATAGATTTTCACAAAATATTTTTTCAACCACAATAACATTAAAGTGCAGAAAATAAAAAATAAAAGAACAGAAGAAAACCAAATTTTAAAGTGGTTCGGTCCAACTAGACCTACGTTGACTCCTTAGAGACTAATTCTTCAGGTATTACACTAAATAAAAGTGACTCTCCTTTTTCTCCCAAAGCAAGGCAGTGAAACCCTTACAAAATTTCTCTTCCACCAACTTGGTGCGGCAGAGAATCATCGTCCTTTTTCACCCTCCTAGTGAAGGAAGAGTACCATCATCCTTTTTCACTCTCCTCGTGAAGGCAGAGTAGCGTCATCCTTTTTCACCCTCCTGGTGAAGGCAAAGTACAATCATTCTTTTTCACCCTCCTAGTGAAGGCAGAGTACCCAATCTACTTTGAAGATCTTCTTTTAAGAGTCTTCAAAGAAGTAGTACAGAGTTTTGAAAAATAACTAAGAGCTCATCACCTTTGGGCAATCTTATGAATCCATAACAATTTCCTCTT